CTGTTATCTCTGCCCTGTCCGGGTTGTTCAGTGGTTAAGAGCATTGGCTCACGGACCAAAGGGTCCAGGTTTGATTCCCAGCCAAGGGCACATATCTTGGTTGCAGGTTTGCTTTCTGGCCCCAGTCGGGGCTTGTGCAGAAGGTAACAGTCAATGTCTCTCTCTCACATCGATGTTTCTCTCTGCTCCTCTCTGTTTTCACTCTCTCTCTCTAAAAAAAGAATATATCCTTGGGTGAGAATTAGAAAAAGAAAGACTGTCAGTCATTTATGCCTTAGGAGGAAAGAATGAGTTCATGCCTAAGAAAAAGAGAAATTAGGAAGGAGAGGGAGGAAGGATACCATGCCCAAGGGCAGCAAAAGTCCCTTGGCCGCTTTCCATTTTTCTGGGACTGTCCTGACACTGCCCTGTTCCGTGCTTCCTTCTAGGGTGTGAGTCATTAATTCAATGTAAAAAACTGGCCATCCATGATTTCCTGTTCTAAAGAACCTTACCTGCCCCGAGGCCCTCTGCCCTGTGGGATTCCCGTTCTCTCAGGTTCCCCAATGGTCATGGACTTGCTGGCAGAGTGTCCAGGAAAAAGTCTCCTCTCCGGGTCAGTGTCACCATGTCAGCCTCAGTCCCCAGAGCCACGCAGCCTTGGGAACGGGCCACGCAGGGGGCTGGGGCAACTTCAGCATGCCATGGTCCTCGCTTGTAGGTTCCCTCTGGGGAAAGTGAGTTCCTGGCATGGGGAAGGGCTCACTGTGAGCTTCCTTTCAGCCAGAAATGCTTTCTCAGCGAGATCTGATCCATAGCAACCTGCCCTTGCCCTGTCCTTCTTGGTGTTGCTTCCCACCAGGGACACTCTATTTTTTTATATATAAACTAGTAGCCTTGCACACAAATCTGTGTGCCAGTAGCTCTCTGTGGGGCCTGGCTGCTCCACGCCCGCTGCCCAGAGGCCCTTTGCTGCTGTGGTGGAAAGCTTGCCTCATCGCTATGGCGATGAAGCAAGCATTCCGCCAGGCAGCTCACACTGCCCACTCTCAGCGGCGACCCCCCCGCCCCCCGGGACTGGGGGACTCTGGCAGGGCTGAGAGGACTGGGCGCTGCCATCTTGTGGCTATGGGCACTGCTATCTTTGTGATGGAGTGATGGTTAATTTGCATATCACCATTTTATTAGATAGGATATTTTTTATTGATTTCAGAGAGGAAGGGAGAGGAAGACGGAAACATCAATGATGAGAGAGAATCATTGATCGGCTGCCTCCTACATGCCCCCTACTGGGGATCGAGCCTGCAACCTGGGCATGTGGCCCTGACTGGAATCAAACCTGGGACCCTTCAGTCCACAGGCCGACGCTCTGTCCACTGAGCCAAACCAGCTAGGGTGGAACTCTCTTGTCAGAGCAGGAGCAACGTCCAGGGAAGACAGCTTCTTCAGTCATCTCCACAGAACTGACATTTGGTGAGCGCTGCTTGGAAAGGTCTTATTGCTGTGGCTACCATCAGCCAGGTGGGGGAGGAGCCAGATAACCCATCTCAAAGACATGCATGGGCACCATCCTGATACTTGATGATCAAGTGGCTAATCCATGAAGCATCCTGTTCTTTGGGGACTAACAGCTCTTAATTCTTTTTGACAGGTGAGAACAGCCAGCCACAATGGAACCCAAACCTTGGGAGAGTCCAGGTACCCAGGGGGCATACTCTTAGAAGGAAAAACACTTTTATTGAAAATAAGGAACAATTCCCATCAATCTAACCAGGATACAGAAGATGGTTTTAGTGGGCTTAACACGTGGCATTCTGGGACAATGATTCTTGGTTTGGAGGATGTAGCAGAGGCCATTGGGTTCAGTTAATTATTTTGTAAGACCTCTTCTAGCTAGAAACTTGGCACTTTCTGATTTTCATGGACAATTTGTTCCATTTGTTTCACGTTCCATTGTTGCTTAGAGATGATACTAATGACAAATTGTACCCAGAAAAGACTAGGGAAGATTTCCTTAATTTGTCCAAGGCCCTACAATTACTAGAGGAGCTGAAACTTGTTATATTTTTCCTTCAGGTTTTTTCCTTTTCCTTTTTTTGGGGGGGGCCTTTGGGGAGCGGCTGCAGAAGGAGAGTGAGGACAGCTGTCCAAGAATCACTGAACACTAGCGTAATGGTCCCATCAGCTGCCTTACCTAACCCAGATTCTCTTTTCACTGGATAAAAAAAAGCTCTAATTCTTTAGTAAAGGCTGCCTTTCCCCAAACCAAGAACAAATTAGAATTATCATCTGGATATGAAAGCAAAACCAAACTTTTTTAAAAAATTATTTTAAAAAATATATATTTTTATAGGTTTCAGAGAGGAAGGGAGAGGGAGAGAGCGATAGAAACATCAATGATGAGAAAGAATCATGGATTGGCTGCCTCCTGCACGCCCTACTGGGGATCAAGCCTGAAACCCAGGTATGTGCCTGCAACCTGGGCATGTGACCAGGAATCAAACCCATGACCTCCCTGGTTCATAAGTGATGCTCTAACCACTGAAGTACCAGCCAGGGCAGAAGAGTGGTTCTTAATCCTGGCTACATGATTATTTGGGGAGCTTAAAAATATGTCAGCTGGGGCTCCAGTTGAGACTGCATGAAGGCAGGAAGGATGGAAGGGGAAGGGGAAATGGAAGGGGGAGGGGAAGGGGAAGGGGAAGGAGAAGGGGGAGAGAGTCCCATGCACTGAGAGGTTGCTGGTTCAATTCCTGATGGGGGCACAGTGCCTGGGTGTGGGCTCAGTCCCCAGTAGGGGGCATGCAGGAGACAGCCGCTCAGTGATTCTCTCCTCTCTCTCATATATTTCTAACTATCCCTCTTCCTTCCTCTCTGAAAAAAATAAAAAATATATTTTTTTTTAAAAAAAGAAACAATATTTTGGAAACCCCTGTAAGCACTTTCGCCACCATATTTTTCATAGTTGGTGATTTTGCTTTCATTTGCTAAGCCAAGGGCAAGGCAGAATCCGCTGGCTCCTGTGGCCGGTGCATCGGCAGGAAGGGAGACAAGCCTTTGCTCACATCCAGAGAGCCAGTTAAATGCTTCAGAAACAGGATCCCGTGGGTGTGAGCTGAACGCAGGCACCTGAATGAAGGTCGCCACCGGGGGTGAATAAGAGTCACACACGTGGTCTTTGGGCCCTTTGTTTTCCTGGCCTATTATAGATGGGTGTTTTGGAGTTTTTTGTTTTGTTTTGTTTTGTTTTTCCATAACTGAATAATTTGAAGACTTTTCCAGAAGTAAACAATGTTTTCCAACTAAAGCAGTTCTTTTCAGAAACTCACTGGGAACAAACTGAGTTCTGTTCACTTTCTTTTATTAGGCAAACCATTTACATTTTATTCTGAAATTGAAGTCTGCAAACAAGATTACTTTATTAAGTCACCACCTCCTCAGCTTTTCTCCTCAGCAGTAAGTACTCGCTAGGATTTTGCCAGGCCTCCCACCAACCTCCTGAGCAATTTTTCCATCCTTCCTCTTCCTCTGAGATTTCACTGAGATGCAAAATGTTTTCGTTTTTCAGCCCTCTTGGAAAAAGAGGTTTTTTGTTCTGACCAGGAGTGGGGAGAAGGGCTGTAGTCTTTCCTATTACAAAGACCATCATCCCCGAGGTTCCATTAAAATCGATGGGTATGTATCCAATTGAGCAAAAGTTTTTAACTTTGGTTGCCTGCAAACTGAAATTGAAGTCATTGTTGATAGAAGCAAGGCCCGCACCAAAGGATTAGTAGTCAGGGCACATGCCTGGGTTGTGGGCTCGATACCCCTGCAAGAGGCAGTCCATCAGTGTTCAGTCTCACATCGATGTTTCTCTCTCTCCCCTCCTCTCTCTAAAAAAAATCAATTAAAAAAAGGAGCATAATATTTGTTGCCAAAAAGAAGCTAACTGGGGAACATATGAGTAGAAGATAGCTAAATAATTATTCCATATTGTGCATTCTAGTTGGTAAATTATTCATTAGTGTTTAGTTACCAAGGCATTAGTTACATAATTTATGGATGAGAGAGAGAGCAGATGAAATTACCATTTCATAAAGCCCAGACAGGTTTTTAAAAATACTGAGATTGAATCTTTTGTCTTTAAGGAACTATGTACCAAAAAATTAGAAACCATGATAATTGTGGGATCAAGGATCCAAGTAAAATAGGAATTTTTGGATTATGTTTTATGCTGAACAAAGTATTTGATGACCCAGATCTAAACTTACTTTCTAAAATGGTTAGGTAATTTTCAAAACATTGAACAAGCAAACCTCAAGTTTTACTCCATTTGAAGCGTAACATGAAACATTAGCCAGTGTTCTTTCTAATTTTGTGTGTGTATGTGTTTGATACTGTATGTCTATATCGAACAGAAATTCCAGTGTAGACGTTGGCATAAGTAACCATGAAAAAATGCGATCCGTACAGAAGATGTTTAAGTGCCACCCTGATGAGGTGATGTCCATTAGGACCACCGACAGAGAGTACTTCCTCATCGGCAGTGACAGGTGAGTCGTCAGATAACAGTGTTGCCCGGGTGCCAAACACCAAGCAAGGTGAGTCATCAGATAACAGTGTTGCCCAGGTGCCAAACACCAAGCAAGCAAACAAAACCATTTTAAAGCAGTGAAAAAATGAACATGCTTAGAACAGAACCCCTCCCACACCCTTCCACACCATCTTGGCAGTCTTCAGTATTGCACTATTGGTTAAAATCCCTTAAAAAGTCATGGTGTTCATTTCCTAGGGCTGCCATAACCAGACACACACACGGGGGGTTGGGGGGGAAGGGGCGAGGAGGTGCTCAGAACAACGGAAGAGTCTATTTTCACTATTCTGGAGGCTGAGTCCTAAATCACAGTGCCTCGGGCCACACTCACTCTGAAGTTCCCAGGGAAGACCTGTTCTAGGCCTCCTGGTACTTCCATGGCTCATGGCATCCTCCCTGTGTGCACATCTCGGAGTTCAGTTTCCCCTTGTTATTATGACACTAGGCATACTGCCTTACTTCAGTATGACCTTATCTTAACTAATTACATCTGCAACAGCCCTACCCGATTTCCAAATAAGGTCATATTCTGAGGTCCAGGGGATTGGAACTTTGATATATGAATTTGGGGGACACACATAATTCAACCCATAACAGTCACCATCACCCCAGATGCGTCCCCTGTAAAAGAAGCCACTACACAGACATCTGTATAAGCTACATGTGTTAGGGTGGGGGGCTGTGCTCGTCCTTGAAGGAGTCCTCAGTTTTAAAAAGGTGCCGTGTGGGTTCTTCGTGGATGATTATTTGCTTGATAGGGAGGCCAAGGTTGGAGGAGGAAGCCATGCAGAGGGGGCAGCGAATGCTAAAGCCAAAGTGGGAAGAGCCTTGATCTGTTTCACATCCACCCAGAGGCAAAAAGCTTTCTTCTACATTGTCATGAGCATCAACAGAAAAGAAAAATGGAATTTATAGGAACTTTTCAAGCACATTCTTCACAAACACACACAGTGTATCAAGGGAGGCACACCTGGCTGGCTACACAAAAAATGGTGCCGACAGGTACTGGGGCTCGCTTAGAACACAAAAGAAATCAGTGTCAAAGCAACAGCTCCGAACCTGTGATTACTACTGTCATTTTCCCCTTTCCCTCCCATTTCTCTGAGCTTTCCTCGCAGAGGCGGCACGAGGGTTAATTCTAGTGTGTGAGTGTGGAGGAGGTAAGAAGCCAGGGGGTCATTCAAGCTAGTTAGAAAAAAATCCTTATTCCCCCAGTACCTGCTCCCACTGCCTGTTCCAACCTTCACAAAAGAATCCTCCTTCAGTTCAAAAGGAGCGAAGGCGCGATTGTTGCCACATGCCAGCTGCAAATTTATTCCTATCAACAGGGAGAAGATTAAAGACTGGGTCTCGTTCATGTCATCATTCTGCCGGGATATGAAAGCAGCACGCCCGAATGCAGAGGTGAGTCCCATCACTCACAAAATGACAGGGCACCTGAGCACAGCCCTCCTTTCACCAGAAAACAAAGGGAGCTTTTCCCCCCTCCTCCTTGGCAACTGGCATGACTACAAGGACGAAATAAGTGAGAAAATGTACATCCTTGTTATTTTTATGATTAACAACGGGGGAAAATACTTTTGTGTTTTGTGCTAAAATAGAGGCACTTCAGATTTCCATTATTGAGGGAGGAGGAGTGAAAATTAACTGTGACATTTTTTAATAGTAGCCGAAACAACAGTATTTTCCCTCATTGTTATTCCAGGTACATAACAGCTACCTCCGGAATGACTAAATCTAGGGTGGTTTCTATACAATGCTTTTCCTTTCCCTTGCATTTTCAATATGATGTCTCTCTAATGTAAGGGCTAGTGACTTGAAGTTTTTTGTTGATTTCCTAAGAACCTTTTTGGTAATTTGCACAAGTCCTTTTGGAGGGCAGACCTTTATTCATGAAACGTTGGCCTCCAGGTATTGTTTTAACATGTTTTCTAGGTTGTTTTGTGCTTCCAACAAAAGCTAAAGCCAAGGTAGAAGGGAAAACATGGTGTTTCTACAAATTGACTCAAATTATTAGAATGAAGAGGTGGGGAGGGGCCGCAGAGAGCCATAGGGTTGAAAAGACAGGTTGAGGGAAGTTCGGGGAGTGTTTGGCGGCCATGCCAAGAGTCCTTGAGGATTTGAAAACAGGAGGAAGACAAGATCACCTCATGTCTTAGTGAGAGAACGCTGGCCAGTGGAATAAATGTTAGTGGTGAAAGACCAGAGGCAGGGAGCCCAGGGACGAGGCTGTTGCCTCATTCCAGACAAGAGGTCCATTCTGCCCTGATTCCAGTGTCCTTTTTCATAAGCAGGAGACACTCTCATTGGCTGCTAAATGGCCCTCTTCAGACCTCAGCCCTCTCCTCGGTTATTCCAGCACATCGGAGGCCGTCGGCTCCACCACATCAATATATACTCTTCCAGACATGGTAACCGGACTCGCCTCCCCTCTCTCAGGATGCCCTGTCTGGGAGTCCTCTGATGCTTCAAGGGTCTCTCCAATGGATTTGATCCCTTCCTAACCCACCATAAGAAACGATTCTTATCCCCAGTATTTAACCTATATGTAGTCTGTTGGCTATACTATAGATGAGCCTTACTGCTTGCACGCCTACCTCTAAATGGATTCATTCATTTTGGATGCTCCTCAATATACATCTGGGTATACTGGAAGAATACCGCCCCCCCCCACCTCCCACTTTCACCTCCCCTAGCTAAACCAAAGGCTGATTAGTAACCTCTTCCTTCCTTTCACACATAGGACACAGATTATCTCTGCAAAAAATTGCCAAAACACCACTTGATTTCCTGCCATATCATCTGTGCTCCTCAAGACAAAATCAGAATTTTTATTTACTTCATTTGCCTAAATCAGTCGTGCGTGTGTGTGTGTGTGTGTGTGTGTGTGTGTGTGTGTGATTTCATCTTAATTTCCAATGAAATTTAGTTGAAGAAAAAATACATCTGTCCCCTGGAAGTGATTTGTAATTGTCCTCTCAGCTCTCTTGCATTTGTGATCTTCCCAGCTTTAGATATTATTAAAAAATGGGTTAAGTGTTTTCTTCTTCTGCCACAAATACTATTTTGTCCCTTAGAGATGTAACCATGGACTTCCCCATCTCCCTGGGTACCAGACACGTCTTAATATGGCATAGCCTTCTGTTTTTATCTAGTTGGAAGCTCTCCAACTATTTTAAAAGCTTTTTGTGGCTTATCAAGCTCAACAAACCAAAACCTCACTTGGTGTTTGTAGGGAAGGTGACAGGAAACAGGGTTGGGAAGAATAACCGTTTTCAGTAAATGCCTCTTGCTTTCCACTCATGGTACCCCTTCTCCCCAAAGATAATGTTATTGGCCATCTTGCCTTTTCACACTATGTATTCAATCCAGTGGTTTTTATCAGTTCCAGCTAAGAATACCATCTGCATTGCTGGGATTTATTGTTATTTTTGCTATTGTTGTTGTTGAAATTAAATTAGATCCCTTCTTCATCCCCAGATCAGTATGATCTGGCTCCATGAGCTTGGAGCTGGATAAATGGACACAACTTCAATGCATTTATGTTTTTTAAATCACTTCCCATCAAGGACTGCCTGGAGAACATCCCCGGTCTTTTTAAAAACCCCTGCTCTAAGGCATTGTTCTTGGAAGAATTGAATTGTACCAACTATTTCCCTGCCATGCAAAGCAGCTACTTGTATCTTGTATGTATTGGGGAGGGAAGGCAGTAATTGGTTGAACCTAGATCACCCTGAAGCCTGTAATTCATACTGTCACATGAACCAGCACTACCACATTGCATTGCTACGAAAACAACAGGAGTATGTGAACAGAACACAAGAGAGAAATATTGAGCAGGAAGAGGAAATTTGCAATGTTTTAACTCTGGACTAATAATTACCTTCTCAGATGCCTTGAGTGAAAACTAGAAAAAAGATGGGGGTGGGGGACTTTGGCAGAACTTAGTGACTTAGGATGCCACCCACTGAGAGAATTACTTGTTTTGAGTTACAGATCCCAATGGTAGAGAAAAGCCTGAAAGATGAGCTCATATGTTCACGTTGTCAGGGGTGACCCAGACTCAAGAGGCATCTCCAGGTTGTGTAGGATTCTGGATGTAACCTTGGAAGACCCTCTGATCTTCTCAATCCAATTCATTTTTATGGCTTTCCCAGAAAGCTTGTGGTTTAATTCTGTTCTCTTGCAAAGAAAAAGCAAAGCATTCATTCTGTCTTCATCTCTTTTTTTCAGTATTTAATGGAAAAAAGTCCTCCAGGACTCAGACAAGCTCATCTACTACATGATTTCTTGACAGAGACTACTCAGGATACGGAAGAAGAGAGTCATTATCTTAGTCCTCGAAGTATTCTTTTAGAGGTAACCCTTTCCATTTATTAATCGTTTATCCCTTCTACAGATATTTGCCCGAGGCCCTGCACTGTTCCTGAGGCACTAGGCTGGTTAAGTAAAACACTGAATCGGTTAATCAGACATGGGTGATGTGCTCAATGTTCCTACTCAACCAGTTGAATAGGAACCAACCATGATACAAGATGAAAGGGCTCCATGCTGAAGAAAGATGTTTATAAAATGCCCAGAGTGCACAAGGGGTGGGAGGCAAGGAGAATGACTTCCAGACAGAAGATGAGGGAACATTTCAGGGAGATGATATATGACTTCATTTGATAGGTAAAATTTGGACTTGAGGGTTGACTTGGGGAGACTTTCTGCATTCTGGGAAGAAACAATACTGTGAACACAGGTCCTTGGGTGATAAATGGTTTGGTGTGTATCAACCAGTCTATTGATCTACTAGAAGCCCCTACTGAGTGCCTTCTGTGTACTAGTCACAGTGCTCTAACTAGGCATGGAACTTATATCACTCTGCCCTCGGGGATCACAGCCCTACTAGTTATCACATGACAATGCTACCCAAGAGGCATGGTCAACGAGCTCTGGAACCAATAGAAAAAGCAGAGTTTTTCTCTCCCCTGGAGTCAGGGAAGGCTTCAGAGACAATAAGCCACTTGATAGGTACCCAGTAAATAGTTCAGTTGGCTGTAACTTAGAGTGAGTGAATGGCACAGTAGGGAATATGACAGAAAAAAAATGAGCCAGACCAGGATGGGGCGTTGACTTCATTCTGCAGTCAGCACCAAGGCTGTGGTGGCCTCTGAGATGGGCAGGGGAAGAACCTAAATTATCTTCTAGTACTATTGACCCAGAGCTATAGTTGAGGTAGATGATGGGCAGGTACTTGGGTTGCTTCGCTATCTTGGCTATTGTAAATAATGCTATAATGAACTCAGGGGTGTATTTATTCTTTTGAATTCGTGTTTTGGGTTTCTTTGGATATATACCAAGAAGTGGAAGCTAAAAGTCCATTTAAAAAAAAATTAAGTGCAAAACTGTGCAGTAGAAGTTCAAAGGGAAAGATTGGCAGTGGCTGAGGTGGTCAGGAGGGGCCATGGGACCTCAGCCAGGTTTGAACACACTTCATTAGGCAGCAGAGAAAATGGGTATTCCTGGTAAAGGAAACAGCATGAAAGTGGGCACTAGACAGGCATTGGTAGATATGTAGTGGGAAGACTGGCTTGACTGGAATGAACTCTTCCAATTACGGGCTGATGCTTCATTTTTTAGGTAGGCAATAGAAAGCCCTTGGGGTTTTGAGCAACCACTACTCCAAATGACTGCCTTAGTTCTGAGGGGTTTGTTGAGAAGCTCTCAAGGGTCTGTAAAACCCTTTATGGACTTTTGAAGCAACTTGGGTCACCTGTGATTATAGTAGCCACTTGAGGCTAGCTCTGTATCAGAGTCCTTGACCCAGCCAGGTGACATGATTTCACAGTGTCACTGGTTGGGGGAAAGAATTCATGTCATTAAGTGCCTGCCAATGAAACAGAAAAATCAATAGCAATTTAGTCCAATAAAAACACTTGTGACAGGGGCATGGGGGACCCAGGAAAAGAAAATGGACTCTTGAGTCTGCCAGAGCTTTACTGGATGAGTCCCTCAGAACGAGCACCACTGTGCACCCAATGGTGGATGCATTTCCAAGTTTAGGGCCTAGAGCCATCATGGACACTTGACTTATTGGTAGACTTGCATCCTTACATTTATTCCTCTTGTCTACAGTTGGATAATATTATTGCTGCCAATGAATCTGGTGAACCCACTGAACTTGATAGTCCAGACCAGGTCTCTGAGAGACCTGAGCATCATTACATGTCAATGAAATCCTGGTAAGTAAAACTACCATATTTTAAAAATTGCCTTGGGCTAATGTATGGTTACAGAAAATCACTATTGAAATGTTAATACAAAAGCATTACCATAGACCAAATTCAACATGTTCAGTGATCTCAAAACAAGATAAAGTGAGAATTGGCTTCTCTTCCCCACAGAAAACCATTAATGACATCCTTGGGACTTTTTTCTGTTTCCTGAGGAAGTGATTTTCTAGTTTGCATTTGCATCTCTCACACTCTCACTTCTGTCTCCCAACCTTCTCAAGGTGAAGGGTTATTTTAACTCCATATCCACTTTTGGATGGATAGTTGGTTGGATTTGATTCTGTGACTGCGATGTTGATGGTTGGACGTACTTCAACATCTTGTTAATGTTCACATTGCTGTTAGGTGCATAAATGTGAAAGTTGTCAATAGATATGCTAAAAAGGCGTTTGTGTTCACTTCTTATACTCCAGTTTGTTCAAAGAGACAACCAAAGAGTCTGCTGTTAGCGAAGAGGAATCCCAGGCCCTTCCAGAGACCCAGAACAGGGGGCTTCATCTGCAAGAACAAGGTTCCAGGAGTGACTCTTGCCTTCCACCTGCCGAAACGGAGGCCCAGACCATGAATGGCAAAAAGGGGTCGACTTCACTAACTGTTGTGCAATTGTCCATATTAATCAAGTAAAGTTCTAATTTCTCAAACTTTGTGGGCCCTTAGAGCAAGGCAGCCTTCGTTTTTTACTCAGAATTCAAATTTTAAAGAAATTCCTAAAAAATCTCAGGCAGCCAAGAGTCTGATCCGCTTCCCCTTGTCACTGACGTGGTGGCCAAGCACAGAGTGCGAAAGGGCTGGCAGCTGAGCTCCCTGGGTGGTGGGTGGCATTTTCAAATATTTTGTGAAGATTCTTCATTGGCCCTGGATCACACTGACCTGGGGGGCATATCACCCAGCTTTTACTGTCAAAATTTTGGTCATGCAAATCATAAGAAGCCTGGTTCTATACTACTAGTAGGAGAAGGAAAGGGACATTTAGATGTAGTGATGCCATGGGCATTTGATGAGATTATTCTCAATTTTAACTCTTTCAGAGTCTTCTTCATTCCCAGTGGAGAAGTGTGCAAACTGACCTGATATGGACAATTATATAATCAATTTTGTCCATTTTTCTCCCTTCTCATGGTCTCCCATCCACCACCACATCCCAAGAGAAGTGGGGGAGGGCATCTGTGGGTACTTTTCAGTAACTGAAATTCATATTCTTCTCTAAATATGTTGGATGATCTTTAGCTGGAAAAGGCCATCTCCTATGTAGGAGGCCAGAGTGTACCCAGAAAGTACCGTTCAAAGCCAAAGACAGTTGCCTGATTTGACTTTTACAAATGTTTTCTCTCATAGTAACATTCCTGAAGAAAGCCACTTGGAGAGACTGAATGTGTTCCTTTCTCCTCTCGACATCACCAATTATTTGGGTCTCACAGAAGCTGCAGGACTGATATGGTGGGTCAGAGATTGGAGGGTTATTGATTATAAACTCGGTTGGGAGATTTGAAGGCAACACTCATACTTTGAAACACTGTAGGTGGCAAAACTGCCTGGAGAGCTCAGACTGTTCTTTTGCTGTTGTAGCAGGTCTTTGATTGATGCTGAAATAAGGGGATTGTTGTGTGGGAGAGTCAGCGAGAGATAAGTGGGTTTAGGAGGACCCAAAAGTCCAGGAAGGAGCAAATTTCTGACTTTTTTCAAGGTGAGGAAAAGTGGGATAGAATGCATACGTCTTAAGGATATTATCCCGCTGAATGAGCAATGAGTATTTGTGAATGAGCGAAGTTAGGTTAGCCGACAAGAATCTAAGGTCTAAAAGGAAAAGACATATCAGGGTCTAGACTTCCAGACACCAGCTGAAAACCTGCTGGTCGGGGACAGACACAACAGACCCCGTGACAGAGAGTTTTCTTGAAATAATCACAGTTTATTTGATTCTAATTCTCTTAAAGACTTTGTAATTCATTCTGATGGAAGATTGCATTTCTACAAGGGAAGAAAGTCCTTCAGGGTAAATAAAACGCTTCACACCAATTGCCTTACAGGTTCTATACGGGGGCAGGAACCACAGCCTCGCCTTTTCCCACATCGCCCACAATCTGAGGCTCAATAAATACCTGATTACAACTGTGCCCCCCTCTGTGCCTGGGATTTCTCATGCATTAACCCATTTACAGTATTTGTTCATTAGATGTTCGTAGTGTAATCATTATGTGCTCACTTTCAGTGGATACGTACTTACTAAGCACCTTTTGTTTACTTGGAGTTATGGGGATATACACAATTTTTTAAAAGGTGTTAGTGCCATACTTCTGGTGAAAACAACATAAAACGCATTTATTTAAATATACAATAAGTGAGTGCTCACACAGTGCAATAGAAGCCCAGGGGTGGGAGAGGAGCGATTAATTAGAGTAAGGGAAGTGGAATGTAGGAGGCATTGTAGAGGCTTTGGGGGAAGGGGAAGGCTCCCACAGTGGGGAACGAGGAAAGAATATTTCAGACAGAAAAAGGATTCAATTACTTTGGATGTGGTATAACATAGCTAACGAAACTAGTGGTAGTAATGATGGGATCGATTAGAGTGAGGGACCCCATCTGTGTCCCCATCCGTGTCCTGCCAGAGAATGTGGTCTCATGGTTGTGTCCGACGCTGTATTCCCCTTGCAGTGTGGCTGCGTGGAAGGGACCCCCACGCCTGGGATGCTTATTTTTTCACGGAGACCACCTTTTGGCCGTGAATGACCTAAAGCCCCACAGTCTGGAAGAGGCCTCCTTGTTTCTCAGCCGGTCCATCCAGAAGGAGGTGAGTCCTGCTGACCAGCCCTGCCCAGGGCAAGTCAGTGCCAGAAGGAACAAGATCAAGGTCTTAGACTGAGTCTGAACTGTATCTGAACACAAATGAGACTCTTCAATCCTCAGCCACCATGTGTAAATAAGAGAATAAGGAGTGTAAATAACACTTCCTATAATACGTGTAAATAACAGAAAGTTATAATAGGGCCCTTTCATGTGAGGTAATTTGGGAGAGAGCACTGGACTAGGAGACTGACCTCAGACACATGATGTGGCATAAAGAACTTGCATTGGAACCAAACCGGCTCAGGGTTTGCATCCTGTGTCCTTTAATCCATTTTTTTTTTTTGGCCTCACTTTTCTCTAATGTAGTGATAATATTAGTTATTGGTCAATGAAATGAGAAAATGTATCTAATGTGCTTACAACAGTGAATGGTACCTATGAAGTGCTTAGCCATGGTTCTGCCTGTTAGTACCGTTTCCATGTTGTTCATGCCTTCCCTTGTCCGTTTTAATTTCTGATGAGCCACATGACCTTGGGAAACACTTCCTCCTCTGGGCATCAGTTTCTTCTCTCCAACGTGGGAGAGCTGGTTTTCAACTGTGCTTCTTGGCCCCTGAAAATGACAGGAGAGGAGGGGAAGGGGACGGTATGGAGCTTCAACCAGAGCAATCTACATTTACCAGTTATCTTTTTTATACGTTGGACTTTCCTGTTAGCTCTCCTTAAAGAAACCATTACTTTTTTTTTTTTTTCAAACCACTGTACAGGATGATCTCTCGAATTTCCTCCAGCTCTGAGAGTTTATGATTCTGTGGGTCATATCACATGTAACCTTGTTGGTTAGACAGATTGTACAACCTCTATTATCTAAATGGGAAACCAGTAAGATTTTGTGAGTCATCTAAGACATAACTAGTTAGTGGAGAGCAAGGATTCATTTGTTCATTCATTCGTTCATCCGTTCACTCACTGGCCATTTATTGAACATGTACTGTATGCTGGCTGTAGGTCCTCGAGCTACAAAAGAGGCCTCAGCCTGAGCTTAGGGAGCTCACAGATTAGTGATAAATCAGGCATTTTATGTGCTAGCTGTGATCCAGTGTGTGCCTTGAGATGACCAGAGCGCCATGCAGTGTAAAGGGAGAATGGAGTCAATCTATTTGAGGGAGGCTAGAAAGGGGGCTCAGAGAAGGAGGTGTTGGCTTGGGTTTCGAAGACTCGGGTAGGCGTTTGTGCGGTGGAAAAAAGGTAGCTTTCAGGGGCCCAGTCCAACAATCGGGTACCAATATTTCCTCTGCCAGACACCCACCCTGGGGCCTAGGGTTCAATGGAATCTTCTGAACCTTTTGCAAAGTTACCAAACAATGCTCTGACCCATCAGCTTCAAAGCCAAGAGAAGGAGTTTGTCCTGGGGGCCGCTCCAAGGAAAGGATGTTTGCCTGGGTGCCACCGACTGCAGTTATCAAGGCTACCTTTCTGGATTGTGGAGTCCCCTGCATGCCTCCTGTGCTCCATCTGCCTGACCCCTTTTTCTGGGGGGACAACCAGATGCTTCTGAGAAATCTGGGGTACTCACCAGCATGATTATCCGGATGACCAAAAAAAACCCAAAAAAAAACAAAAAAACACAACCCTTCCTTCACACCCTTACCATTCCTGGCCAATTTCTCTATGTGAAAATGGCTATCCAGTCCTTTTTAAAAATTCAAAGTTCTGGCCTCTGGAAGGGAAAAGAAAGTTGGAAGAGGGGAGATGTGGAGGCAAAGGCAGGGCAGCCAAAAGCCGCTATTGTTTAAAGCACCAGAATGAAACACATCGCCCCTCCTTCCTTGAGCGGACTCATGTAGGAGGATGGGGTGGAGCTGGATAAAGCCAGTGAGAGGAGAAAATGTGAGATTTTCAATGGAAGGGGAGGAGATGCTAGTTTTGCAGGAGACACATCAAACTTCAGTTTTTCTCCCCATTTTGTCAGGGGCTTGTTCTGGCTGGTGGTGTCACTTCTGGTCTTTAGCATCCAGAGGCTTTTTAATTCTTGGTACGAATAGGCCCATCGGGCACCATTGATGCCATTTAGGATCTGCCTTAAAGGCTCCAGACCTTGGATGCCAAACAATAAAACTCCACCTTCCACCTGGACATACAAGTCCTCCTGCTCTCCTCTGACTGTAGTTCATCACAGGACTTTTTCCTCAAAACCTGCTTCGAAGGGTGTGAATGAGGACATACTGAGAACAAACAATCTTCAGTCATTTAATTATTTTCTTTCTTTTGTTTTAGAAAGTGAAACTCACTATAGGCCGGATCCCAAATTCCGAGAAATTCCACGCTAAAAACTGTACATGCTCCTTAAAATACCAAGATGATGTACCTTCTGAATTGGAAAAGTCTGAACTGGAGAGGGCACCGAAGAGGAGCCCAGCCATTAGAAAGGGTTATCAGAAGAGAACTGGAGAGTAACATGTGGGACCCACCCAAGGGGTGGGGATAGGACCCGGACTCCGTACTGGACTCTGCCACTTATCACTGCGTGAGGCGAGGCAAGTCAGCACACCTCTCTGAACCCCCACATCTGCCTCTGCACAATGGGACTGACTACGCCCTCGCTGGCAACTGCGTCAGGGGCGTGAAGAGCGCCAAGTGGGATAAAGACTACGGGACACAGTGAAAATAGGAGGCCTTATCTCAGACTGTGTTCCCAACAGCACGGACAGAGATTGGGTAATTCCCTAGAATGTGCTGTGCGCTCTGAGGTCACAGTCCACATAATCCCTTCTTTGTTAGGGAACGTGCTATTGGAAATACTCATTCCGGGAAGGCAAGATTACTGAGAGAGATGTGATATCATTCAGCCTTCCCAACACTTCCTGCTACCCATCATGCTTGTGGTCCAGAACGCTGAGACAAACTGCAACACACACACACACACACACACAGAAAAAAAAAAATAAAGAAGAAAAAAGAAAAATAAACAGAATGCTGAGATAGAGTGGCCTCTAGAATTCAATAATTATCTTTTTTAAGGACCCAGTAACTATGTTAGAAGTTAAAGCAGTTTTAGGTCATACCCAGCAAAGACCTGCTTGCTCTCTAAATAAGAGAACTACTTAGCACTTCTAAGTTTGGAAGGTCTTAGCTAATTGATGCATTAACTAATTGATCCTGGGCAGCCAAAAGAACCCAATCTTTTTTCATACGTAGGAAAACAAAGGCAGAGAGCCAAAGGACTAACCCAGCCTGGGGATGGTAGAGCAATAGGGGGCTTCAGAAAAGACAGGGTGGGCAAAAAGTAGGTTTACAATTAGTACAATAAATAATAAGACAAGAATAAACTCAGTTGGGAGTTTGGCATACTCCTACTGTAAACTTATGTTGCCCACCCTGTATGTTTCACCAGCAGTGATTTTGCATGGGAAGAAATCAAGGCCTCGGATATTTAATGATCTACTGCCTTTGTGGCTCCCAGTTTCACATCTGCTAGTGGCAGAACCAAGAATCTAAAACCAGCTCTGAGAAGCAGGTGTCCTGATCCCCACTTTGTATTTAGATTTAGGTTTGAAAAGACCTTCAGCACATAGAAGAGACATTCAAATACAGTTCATTTTCTGTAATGAAATCTTTACCTAATGACCAAGGATTTGGCAAGATCTCAGAGCCATTCATTCTCAGTATCAACTCGGGCTAGATGGTTCTGGAAAACGAAAGGTTTAAGTGAACTTTGCACTCACAGGTCGAACTCTGGAGCTGGCCTGCCTAAGTTGGCAGCCACTAGCCACCTGTGGCCTTTTACATTTAAAATTAGGTAAAAGTTAAAATTTAGTTTCTCGGTTGCACTAGCCACCTTTGAAATGTTCAGTTGCCCTATGTGGCAGGTGGATACAGCATTACCCAACAAAGAATATGTCCATCCTCATGGAAAGTTCCAGAAAACAGTGCTACTCTAGAGTGTTCAACTTCCAAGAGGGGAACAGGTCACATTTGCCTCATTCAAAAGCATTATTCTATTTTGATAATGTTTCCAAATAAAATATTCACATCAATGATTTTGGTAGCATTTTTTTTTGACAGGGTCAAATCTGATTAACTTAAAACCAAGCTGTGGGCCTTTTAAATATAAGCCTTTCCATAGCCGGTTTAGCTCAGTGGATAGAGCATTGGCCTGCAGACTGAAGGGTCCCAGGTTCGATTATGGTCAAGGGCATATGCCCAGGTTATAGGCTCGATCCCCAGTGGGGGGTGTACAGGAAGCAGCCAAACAATGATTCTCTCATCATTGATGTTGCTATCTCTCGTTCCCTCACCCTTCCTCTTTGAAATCAATAAAAATATTTAAATAATAATAAATACAAGCCGTTTTCTCAACAATTAATGGATTTCTCGGGAGAGTCAGTATTGATTTATGAGCTGTTATGAGGATGTAGAAGAAATATAAGGTCTAAAACTCTTTAACAAGAGCCTATGACATATGGGGGGGGGAGGGGAATGAGCACGCCAAGGTCTTGTTTACCTGCTGTCATCTGAGAAGGCACCATTCTGTAAGCTTGATTTTTAAACTATGTTCATTGTAATCTTTCTAAAATGTGTCAACATGTTCTTGCCTTTCTTCTCAGGGTCAAGGCGATGGGCATGATTTCACCACACTCTTAAGTATTCCGTATGGGGGACTGTTTCCCCTCCACCAATGATCCTGGTCTGCGTCTGCTTATGCTGCGGGCCGGGGAAGCAGATGATGCAGCTTGTTCTAGCCACACGTACACTATGAGTGTGGGTATAAGAGGATTCTTGAGTAAAGCTCATTCATGTCTGGTACAGGGTTTCTGTGACATTGATTTGGGTGCACAGTTATCTTGATGGTGGTGTTGGTGTACAGTCGTTTATTTGTATGCCTCTTGGTTCTCAAGAGTGTTCTGCATAGGTGAGACCACTAGAAAAATGATTGGGAGCCAAGTAACGCTACTATATAAAAAACTAGAAAATTAACTACCATAGTGTGTAATGATAGAGGAGTTTAGAGAGGAGAGAGATCCTGGTGCTTATCATGACAGTCAGGGAGCACACACCACTGAATCCCACTACAGCCTTGCACAACCAGGGCTATCACTACACCCATTCTTTTGGATGGGGAAGCTCGAGCCCAGAGAAGTTCAATACCTTGCTCAAGGCTACAGCTAGTGAATGACAGAGCCAGAATTTAAACCAGACGGTTGCCTTTGGAGGCCACATTGAACAGTTCCTGGAAGAGACGGTGATTTGAGCTCTAGAGGAGAACAGTCCACAAGGGCAGTGATGCAGACAGGAGCCAGACGGGGCCTACTTCCTAGGGAGAACAAGGAATGTGGGCAATGACTCAGCTTTTTCACATCTCTGATTTCAGTAATACCCATTCATTTTCTGGGCCTCTTGCCCAGGAGAACCAACAAAGCCCACACCTTATGTTCCAGGAACCAAGGGAATTCTGTGCAGGCTCTTGTTATGGCTCATTAGCATGTTTTACACCTCTCCTTTTGCATGGCCATCTGGCTTCATAAAACACTCAAGTTAACGAGCAATTAGTACACAGTTCCAATGACAAAGGCTGGTCCTCCGGATAGGAGATGAGTAATCAAGAATCCCTGACTACAAACCTTATGGTCAAGTGGTGGTGATGCAGAGCTGCCTCAAACTGATTGTCAAACTGCAGCGGGAAGGCCAGGGAGGGTTGGGAGGCAGGAGGGAGGTGGGTAAGAGATCAACCCAAGGACTTGTATGCATGCATATAAGCATAACCAATGGACATAAGACACTGGGGGGTAGGGGAGGCCAGGGGATTGTCAAGGGCGGGGGAAAAAAAGGACACATATGTAATACCCTTTGTAATACTTTAAGCAATAAAACAATAAAAAGTGGGGGTGATGCAAACATATACACAGATCACTATAAGGCAAGTCCAATGATCCTAAATCCTTTTTGAAAGAGAAAATTCAGTGTTAAACGAGTAAAAGACTTAAAGACTAATTCTATCTAGTTGGTTTGGGAAAAGCTTCAAAGAGTGATTGATTTTTTTTTTAATTGTTGGGAGTGGAATTTTACATCTGGAAGAATAGAATTTACTTGATCTTCTAGATCAGGCCAAAACCCCACTGCACAGCCATCACAATGTATGTAATTAACAGGACCAAAGAAGTTCTCAGAAGTCCTGTAGAACTCAATTTTTATGCAATTCCCGACCTTTGAATTGTCACCACCATCACTTTTTGAGCACCTCCAGGTGCAGGGCACTGTGGCAAGTGCTGGTGATATTAAGAGGGAAAAAAATTCCCTCAGGAAGGTGATAATCTAGTAAAGGATATGGACATAAAAATTGCTTAGGGGTACATTTTCCCCTCATCAAATTAAAAGATATATTTCTACAAAAACTTGTACATATTAGTGAAGCCTCATTCATATTAGTCAAAAAATGGAAATGTCTATCAATTGATTATGGATAAATAAAATGTGGTATGTCCATATAATGGAATATTATTTAGCTGCAAAAAGAAGTGAAGTACTGGTACATACTATAACATGGATGAACCGTGAACACAATAGGCTAACTAAAAGAATCTAGGCACAAAGGCCACATGTTGTATGATTGCATTTGTATGAAATGTCCAGAATAGACAAATCCATAGAGACAGAAAGTGAAATAATGGTCGCCGAAGGGGACAATGGGGAGTGACTGCTTGTAGATACAGGGCTTCTTTTGTGGCTGTTGAAAATGTTTTGAAATTAGATTGTGGATGAAAGGGGCCTCACGCTAACCTGACAAGCTCAGGGAAGGCCTTGCAAACTCAGAGACCTAAAATCACCATAAAGGATGGTCTGAAATTAAAACTTTTAAATTAAAAGCAGTTTATGGCAGGTAGTCATGTCCTAGGCTAGCATCTTCCCTGACAAAAGTCAATCTTTACTTTAACTAAGCTTGTCTATTGTCTTTCGCATCTAAAATAACATACCTTCAGAATGTCAGGGTAACTTCCCTTTTTCCAACCCCCTCAGAGCACACCAATGCACCAGAACAGAGACTATAAATGCTTTCTTTGTTACTTTTATCATGTTAATTGTTGACTATTAACAATCCTGTACTCACTTTGTAAAATGTGTACATGTCTATCATTTTACTTTGAATCCTATCCCAGAAGTTTCCCCCCACTGCTGCTTTCTCCTGCCTCCCTAATCTCTCACCAATGAATTTCATATAACCAACTTATGTCTTCTCTTCTGAGTGTAATGTATAAAAGTGCAAACTGCCTTTTTCTGGAGCATTATCTCAACCCATTGAGATTTTGCTTCCCAGCAATTGTCAAGTTTGGCTCAAATAAACTCACAAAAATTATTCACAGGTTTGAATGTTTCTTACATTGGCAAGATAGTGGTGATGGTTGTACCACTCTGTGGATACACTAAAAACCACTGAATTGTATTTGGTATATAAATTTTATGTCAATATAAAAACGTTTTTAAAAATTCCCTCATAGCCTCTAAACTAAGGTAGGGAAATTGGATATCAAGGTATCACCCCAACCTTGGAAATTGGCTTCATTTATAGTTACTGACATAAGGGAAGAAGCAGTCTTCCTCACCGGTGACTGATTCAGCAGACTTTTCTAAAACGTGACTTCATATGAAGATGGTAAAAGTATCCCCATGTAAGAAACAATAGATTACCTAATTAACAATAGTCCTGAATTCCTTCCTAGGTAATCATTCTTATTACCATCAAATCTTTAAAGTACCTCAAGGACTTGGAGTCCTACTTTATACTAAGGTGTAAATGACTATATTAAGAATAGAACAAAAGGATGACAAAAGAGGTCTAGAGGGCGCTCAGTGCCTAGAAGAGAAGAATGTGCAGAGCTAGGCTACAGAAAAAGAGGAAAGATACCAATAAATCATCAAAGACAAGTAACATATTTCTCAACTTATCAACAGCTAAGTAATATTGGCTAAGGTAGCCAAAAATTATAGTCCTTCCTCTAAAGCCCTCTTCTAATAATGGCTGAGGAAACATAACTGCTATTTTTGTTCAAAGTCATATTTAGGATGGGCAGGGTTTTCTTGTACTCTAAAGAAAGGTAACTAATTTTTTGAACATTTTTTTTGCCTTCTACACTAATCCCATCCTGATTTCTCATAAACTGTCTTGCAACCGCATTATCCTGCCACACACACACACACACACACACACACACACACACACACACACATCACATCACACAACTTTTTAACACTGTAGTGAAAAGGTTTTGCAAGGCCTAAACAATGATCAAACTGTGGGG